CGACGCTGTAGCAAAGACTTTGGGAGGTTCTCCCGTCTCGTGTGTTTTTGGTGGTCTCATCCGCATCCAGCGGGGCAATGGGGGTGTCACACTGGCGCCGTAGGAGGGCCGATGCTCACCGATGTCTTGCCATGCCCAATGCGTCCGATGTGTCGGGTTCTGACGCTGGTGTGCGGGAGGCTTTGCTTCTTCGGCCGGCGGCGGACGCTGAGGGCACATCATTTCGGTCAGGCTGCGCGTGTGCGGATGCGGAACTGGGGATCGTCATGGACCTGGTGGATGAGGTGAGGGGGTCAGTCTCTACTGTGTGGGCGATTCGCTTCTCATGATGAGCGAGAAAAAGAGCAGTCGCGAGTCATGCAACGAATGCCGAGCAACAGCAGAGGCGCGCCTGCCGACTGCACCAAGTAAGGTACCTTAAGGTAGGTAGGTACCTACCTAGGTAAGGCAGGTAGGTACCTCATGTGGAGCCTTGAACTGCCCGAGCGGCTGGGAAGAGGCAGGAGCTAGGGGACTTGGTTCGCGCCTTCGCCTTCTCATTGACGGCGAGGCATCTATCTCATGGCAGGGAGGTGCCGTGGAACGGGCGCAGCGCGGAAGCTGCGGACTGGCGAGCGGTACACGGCAAGCAGTACCGGCTTCCAGGAAAGGGTTCGTTGCACAGCATACAGCCCCCAACAGCCAGTCAACAGGCAGCATTTTGTCGACCTGCAGGAGACGACGACATTGGGCCCAGAGGTGAGGCAGAGGCAGGTAGGTGGTGCCTGTCGAGGGTGCCTACAGTACCTCCCTGCCTGACGGCAACACTGCGTGGGTGGTCTGTGTAGGCAAAGCCAACCAAGCTGCCGGTACCAAGGCCGACGAACCTGGTTGGGGGGTTTTCTACAGGGCAGCCAACGGGACTTTCCAGCCGACCTCCAGTGTCTCACTGATGGCCACAAGCAATGGTCCCTCGGCACCCGTTCTGGGCATCCCCACGTCATGCTGCCTCGTGGGCAGACCTTGTCGATATCCTCATTACACAATCTCAACTGTCTAGGTCGAATTTTCAGCGCTGTCCATGGTGTTTAAGGAGAGAACCGGGGGGTGGAGGAAGCGGGACCAGGGAAGTCCGTGCGAAACGGAAACGTAGGCTTCAGGGACTCGCACTAGGAAGCCTAGCGCGTACCTCGGGAACAGTGGCAGTTCCAGGTCAGGCTACGATCTGGCTAACAGGCCTAGGACAGAATAGCACCGTGCCTAGAAGCCTCCACAGACGCATCCTGGTGCAGCGGAGTATTCCATGCACCTGCCCTGGTGCCTTCCACTCACACTCCTAAAATGATGCGACCTGCTGATTTTGAGGGGTACATGTACTTCCGAGGGCTCAGATCAAGTTGACCATCGAGGTCACCTAATGGCGCCAGGTAGCAGACGTTCCCTTTCATTTCCCTGTGCTGACAGCCCTGAGGGTGCATTGCCAAAAGGGCAAGGTACCGTGAGGTACGCTGGCGGATGGAGCCCGTCTGGCCTGTCAAATGCCAAA